CCCAGCAACTATAAACACAAGGAAAGACCTCCCGATCAAATTTGGAAGACCACACAATCATCACTCTGACCAACATGTACGAAGCATTCAGTCTATGTGTCCAGAACAAACAACCGTGTGAGAATAAAATGGCCCAGAAGAATTATGTCCTGGCACAAAGTACTTTGGCATACGTTATTGTAAGGGTATGTCTCATAAATGCAAAAAAATAATGTGAGCGTTTTACGTATAGTCTGTTTGCAGTGAAAGCGTACCTTTGAATTGCACTTTCAACAATCAAATTGAGTGAAATTAAGATTGCGAATCCTTATAATTTTACCTTGCCAATTGAACTTTTAACTCTCAAAATTTTATTCAACTTAGGATAAAAGGACAAACGATCATAGATTCAAATCGTTATTATTGGTTTGTATTATTAGGGGGAACGCGCAGTAGTTGTAACAGTGAAGTAAATGCACGTGCTGTACGTGATTAGTGTTAACTTACACCAACCTTACGTGTTCTCGGAGTTTCATTTAATATGAATATCCCCTTGCAATAATAAACCAAGAAGTTGTTAATATTTGTCTTGTATTACTACACCAACTTCTAACTGCCTTTGAAGAATTGTTACGAAATTCACAATGTTATATTAATCTCAGCAACATATTTTATATACGCTTCACATTCATGTGGCTATTTGCAAACCAAAGGTCATAACTGTGTTCATATAGTGTTTTATTATTAGTGTTGAATTTGGCTAGTTTAAAGGGGACTCACAAGCCTTTCATGACAGTAATTTCTAAACCCTATCAATATACATTGTCCTTCATAGTCTTATGGGTTCTTAACTTCCCTGTATTAATCCTTTGCATCCATGCACACCCACAGGGGCGTGTCACGCTTAGAAACAGCGTTAGAAAGACATATAGGTATATAGACCCTACCCTAGTACTATACTGAGTCACAAAAGAAGCTTCACATCCATTCTTCAGGGCACTATAAAAGAACAAGAGATGGTAAGATGGTTAAATTGTTATTATGTCATTGCTGAGATCTGTGTGATGTACTCGATACACTGACAGTGCCATAATCAGTTCCATTAGGCTACATCGCCGTTCCAAAACATGGGTATACGGAATGTCAAGTCACAGGAATAAAAATGTGAAATTTCTCCGTTCAATATCGTGTATGGCCGCCCCGCGCATTCACCACTACCAAACACCGTCTCCTCATCGACTGCCTGATGCTTGTGAACACGTGGTTGGAGATTCTGCGCCATTGCTCTTGCAAGGCAGCGCCAAGTTCCTGCAAATTCTGAGGTTGGTTCCTAGGACCACGAAGCCTTCTCCCAAGTGCATCCCAAACGTGTTCTATTTGATTTAAGGTCAAGGGACCTCGATGGCCAGACCAGGACGTTGATTCCAGCGTTTTGAAGGAAATTTCGTGTCAACATCGCGGTATGCGGCCGAGCATTATCATGCTGGAACTGTAGACCTGGGCCATGAGCCACCATGAAAGGAACGAGTTCAGGGGTGAGCACCTGGTCGCGGTAAGCAGCAGCTGTGAGTTTTTTACGGATGACCAGAAGTCGGGAACACCATGCAACTTACGCCTCCGAATCTGTCGACTTCCTGTACACAACATTGGGCAAACCGTTCATTGCGTCGTCTCCAGACTCTATGCCTGCCGTCCGCGAATCTGAGGGTAAACCTGGATTCATCGCTAAAGACGACTCGATTCCAGTCTCTCTTGGTCCATCGGAGGTGACGTTGGGCCCACAGCAGACGTTGACGTTGATGAAACGGCGTCAATATTGGCCCATGATATGGACGTCGAGAATGGAGATTGGCAGCCCGCAACCGATTTGACCTCTAAACATCTCAGCTCTGGTTCGTGTAGCCGGCAGAAATCTGTCACGTAGGTGACGTAGGACGATTTGACGGTCTCCTGCTCGTGACGTCACACGTGGACGACCCGACCTTGGGCTGTCAGAAGTGGTGCCAGTTTATTGTAGACGACCTACACAGTACGACGGCTGCATCCCATTGCTCTTGCGACGTCAATAACTGATCTTCCCGCTTGCAACATGCCAACGGCACGTTCACGTTGCACATTTGACAATCGTGGCATTTCAAGTACCGTTAGAACTGTGGTTTAAAAGTGTTTTTGTCAATTCTTGAGGCCAATGCAAACACGTGCATATGAAGAAAACTTCGAAGCGAAGATCACGTGATCGACTGCACGTGCCAAACCTGATTTGGCACTAACGTCATTTGCACGACGAATGGATGGGTTTGAGTGGGTTTTGCTAACATTTTTCTAGAGTCGAAAGATAGGGATCCCATTTTGGACACATAGATGTATCATCAGAGAAAAATTATTCATTATTTTTCAAATTACATTTTGTGAAGTTTCTTTTTTGACTCAGTATATATAAAATTTTAATACTAGGGTTGGGTCTATATACCTATATGTCTTTCTAACGCTGTTTCTAAGCGTGACACGCCCCTGTGTGCACACCTATATATCGTGAATATCGTATCTTAACTATGCCAGGTTGAAATGAATCTTGCAAATAGCGGTAATCGCAGTCTCCTAACAGTTTTCTCACTTAAAATTCCAGTTTTTACACCCGTGAAGGCACACGTATAAGTCTATAGAAATATCCTTTTATTTAATATGTTGTTGTACAAACACATATATCTGCAATCGTCTGTGATATGCTTACGGGTACCCATCCTATACCTCCAAGTACTCCATCTGTTGGCGCATATCTACTAACACCTACGTAAAACAGTCCCTGTTCTGAACAGCTTTTATACACGAGTGATTCTGAAGACCCCACACAGCTGTCCCATGTGTGATAGCCGGAAGCACGATACTGTCAAATAATTTATGAAATACTTTAAAATCCTAATCACCAAGAAGTTTACGGTCATTCAGCTCTGACTAGCCCTACAGCTCTCTTGAAACTGTGTTGCATGCAACAAGTTGTTAACACAAGTCAAAACAAATTGGCGGATCCAGGGGGAGGGTGGGGGTGGTTTCAGGGGTGGTGTGGTGGTGGTGGTGGTGGGGCTTGGTTCGACTCCCCCTTTGAAACTTCCTGGATCCGCCTATGCAACGTGAGAACCTATTGTTCGTGTACCGCGCATGTGACCAGAACGTGATTCTTCAAGGTCAAGCATTGTTCTATTGATTATGCATCACTTTTGTCATATGTATTGACGCCAAATATAGCCATGCAGTTGGCGTGCTGATAAACACGTTTACCATGTCCATATATGGTCGCTGTGAAAAATACACTGACCATAAAAGTTGTATCCGGGGTATGTTGTTTTTCATTAGCACTTAATCTGCTTGTTTCTTGTAAAAGCTAGCCTATAAAGTGACAGGCATACTGTCTGGTCGCCAGAGACCTGTGAGCAGCGGCGTTAAACCAGACCTTCAAAACAGGTACAGTAATGGGGTAAACATTTAGATGTCTGTGTAATCCTTGTGAACCTGCATGATGATATGGACTATAGATGTAAGGCTTGTGGTCATTCGCTTGACATGTCACGATCCCGGTTCGATACACAACCTGGGTACGATATGAGAAGCCAGTTTCTGGTGCCACCCGTCATGATATTGCTAGAATCCGTTGGTATATGACCAGATGGTGGCCACGTGAATACGTGCAAACACCTAGTTGCGAGTACAGCAATGTGCAGTGAACTTGGACAAAGTACTGTGACTATGTGTCCCAGTCCACCCAGCTGTGAATGGGTACCTCGTAAGGATGGGAAAGCCACAATAACGCGGTGGGCCTAGTGGCTGCAAGAGTTGTATACTCCCAAAGGGAGCTGAGTTTGATAATACGAGATTGAGATTGACATCCAATGATTGAGGGGGAAAACTATCAGCGCCTGGAGCATGCACTAGTTACGTGGATATGTGCACTGTATAAATATGCTATAATAATAAATAATAATAATAATAATAATATGCAGTGTTGGGGAGCCTTCATATTCTCCGGAAAGTTCTTGGTGGGTTCGTCTAGGCAGCGTTTCCTGGGAGAAGTACTTTCACTGTCTGGGCTGCGTGTAGAGGGGGCGAGGGCCCTGAGCTGATGATCAGCCTTACCAGCCTGACTGTGCCAGGATCACCCGAACCCTCTCTGCTGCATATTATCTTTAATCTGTAAAATATAATAATAATAATAATAATATCGCTAAAGGCTGCATAAGATCATACACACTCATTTGGACTATACATTGTGTTTAACATCAGCTAATTTAAGCCGATTCCATTGTATTTTCAATTTTACGGCACTGTTCTACATATACCAATTTAACTAAGTCATGTAGCAAGAAATGAAGACTAAAGATGAGAAGATAGCCTTGAGTTAATCTTAAAGTATGTGGGGCATCATTATGAAGAAACTATTAAACGTCATGGCTCTGTATTTTAATGAGTAGTTTTAAAATGATGGCTTATCGATTGTTTCCCTTTCTCATGTTAAATTACATTCATAACTTCTAATATACGTGTATGTGTTTGTTACGTTTTAGACTGATTGTTGGAACCAAGGATGGCAGACAGACTAAGAGGTGGGTTACATTTCAATACATGTTAGTGGAGATATTGTAAACAAAATATCAAACTATTTGGACTCTATTAGAAATTTCAGAAACCTTGTAAGAGCTTCTCCGAGGGCATTTTATTTTTCATTAGCCCTACATCTGCTTCATTCTTGGAAAAGCTAACTAACAAAGAGATGGTGTAAGCATCAACGTTAAACCATAGCGTGGAAACAGGTTCAGTAATGAAGGAGACATTTGCTTGCCTGCATATGTTTGTCCATACCCGTTTGAGATATTTGGACTATGGATCCGTCATTTATGTATCTTTTAGTGGCGGTATTTTTTAAAAGTAATATTATGCCATTTTGACGTCACTGTCAAAAAGCAAACTAGACAAACATTTGTTGTCATGTAAGTGTCGATGTCAGTGGATCAAACCCTTGAATATTCCAGTGAGTGTCAAACCCCTTGGTGGTTCAAGATATCTAGTTATCTACGAGATAGATTCAGCTAATCAGGAACCTACATCTGCAGAAGCAACTGTCATCAAGTAAGGATGATAATTCAATTCCTGAACAATGGCTTTCAGAAGTCTTCTTGAGCTTTTAAATCGTTGTTTGGGATAGTGATGTTACAAAATGAAGGGAAAGCATGTTTTATCTGACATCGAATATTTTCCCGAAAGATTATTTTTTTTGTGTTACTGCATAGCAATCTAAATATCGCCACATACATGTATAAATAGAAGTGAACATGAACTACGAAACATTATAGATTTATCAATCGATTCCTATGTTCCAGCATGTTTAACTTCCACGTCCCGACTTGGTCTCATTATTTTGTATCATGATAAAGACGTTAACCGGTGGGATATATTGTTATTAAATGCCTCAGTTCCAGTGTAGTGGAGTTCACAGCTACAGTTGGGTCCCATGAATTTCATCATGTATCGGATCCAGAACCAGCAGGGATAAGGATTATAGAACAGGTATGTGCAACTAGTTGAAAGAAGAAAACTGCTACAATAGGTTACCTTGTTTCCATCAATCCATGTTTGTATAATGCATTACAGTGATCAGCCGTGTTAAATGTTGGTTTCATGTTCCAGAGACCCGTTGCAGATACCTACCGGGTGAAGGTGGAATGTCCGGTCGACCCTACTGACAAGTTCCATTGAATTTAAAATCTACTTGTTAGTCATTGGTTGATTATTAGAATCATGTGCACGCTGTAATCGATGGATTTTGCCTTTTACACTAACCACTAGGACTACAGAATATTTCCATGGATTACTTGTTAGTTAGTTGTGGATTACCAGAATACACTCTAAATCTTTTATTTTACCTTTACCAATAGTAATAGAACTACCGAATATATCCAATGAGTTCATGGATTACTTGTTAAATGTCAGTTTACATGCAGTAACTGACGGATTGTGTCTTTCTAAATAAAAAAGATCAATAGGACTACAGAATATTTCGTATGAGTTTAGGGATTAACTGTTTGTGGTTAAATTGTTAATTAAGAAATAGGACTAACCAATATGTTATGAGTCCATGGACTACTTAATAATTCTTTGTGCATTACTAGAATAATGAGTACGTTGTGACGTTGGATTTTACCTTTCTCAACAATCACTGGGACTAGTTTACATATTTATATCCTGTAAGTGGAGTTTGGAATATACTCTTTTAGACGTGGTGTTTGCCTTATTCGTCTATACTCCATTGTCTGACTGAAAAAGCATCCGACTAATGGGAATAACTTTTATTTTCAATTAGCAATTAAAAAAATAATAAAAACGTGCACGTCGAAGGTGTCCTCCCATAAGAACTACATCCCATAATAACTACAGCTTAAAACACATGTTATTATCCAGTGCACAGATTAACTACATGCTGTTACCTGTGTCTGCTTAATGGATTTGCCCAACACAAAACAAATAAAACATATATAACATGTTTGCTGCGGCAGTTCATTTTGGTTTTGATAGTAAATAGTTTGCCTTCACAAAATGTAAATTCTGTCAGTTATGATCGAACAAGTTCCACATCGAGGTGTTTGACATTTTGTTACACTGACTGATACACCTTTTTTCATAGTATCACTTGTATACAAAATTGGAAGATTTGCTTTCATAATGGGCATAATTGTACAGTTATTATGATTGTAGTACAAACAAATGGAAGTATGTCAATCTCTGTATTTGTTTCTTTTGTTTAAATGTCTACCTAAGAAGATATGTTTTATATATCTATTACATATTACCTATCAATCTGATCCATGTAGAACACAGCTTCAATAAGTAGCCAACTGCGTCGAGGTCCTGGGTTGCATGCTATAACAATATTATTTTAACTTAAAAAACTCATTCGTTTATATTTCGCCTTTACTCCAATATACCTTTACCTTTATTCCAATATACTCTTGGCTTGTTTTTTTCTTCTATCATATGAATACAAGAACATTCACTAACTACAGCATACCCTTCTCTCTTGACCTTTACTTTCTGGTTATTACCTTTACAACAACATAATTTCTGGTCAATAGGATTTTAAGCATGTAGTTCTTCTGGGAGAGCTGATGCCATGGGGGGGTGCCTCGACTCAGATACTTAATCTTAAATAATCCCTGTAGTTAATGTGGGATGTTGTTCAAATGGGAGTAAACCACGTCGAATATTTCTTAATTTGGGAATCACTTAACACAGTGATTTATTAATGGTTAGTTAAATGTCACAATAATTGCGAATGAAGATTGTATCAATATACTTGAAATTCTCTTGAAGTAGCATACCTGCCATGCTCGTGCTGTCATTTTAGATAGATATATTGTCTGTACAATTTGGTGCTGCGGCAGTGGACTCGCAGTGAAACCCATGTCGTAGATGGATATCCTTTTTTCAACATAAAAGAAGAAAAGACATTGCATACTCCCATTTATACATTTAGCACAGACTCTTTGTCAGTCCCACTCTCTAACAGTCCCAAGCAATATGTTTTGTACGAGCGAGGACGCGTTCTGTTCAATGTTTTTTCTGATTTTTAAAAAATTATTAATTAGTCTTCTCGTATATTTGAATTATTACTGACACAGCTTCTGTTTGTAAACTAAAAATTAGATAATAAGGAAGTTCAAATTTCATTGATAAAGTTTGTTATTCATATGTATACGTGTGGCGCACCCATTATCCTGTATCACAAGAAATAAAATGATAAATGCAATGCCGGGTATTGTTTTCCATATGTCTTCATATTTATATGGTGAAATGCGTTATAGGTAGGTATGGATAGGCATTGGCTATTCTGAATCAGTTCAGACGGTGGGGTAGCCTTGTGGTCTGATCGTTCGCTCGTCACACTGAAGACCCGGGCTCGATTCCCTAGATGGGTACAATGGGTGAAACCCACTTCTGGTGTCCGCCGCCGTGATATTGCTGGAATATTGCTAAAAGCGGCGTAAACCTATACTCACCCAACACTCAATCACTCACTCACTGAATCATTTCTGTTTACAAACTCATTGTATTCTTGACAACGGTACCATGAATGATTGGAGGAAAACTTGCAAACTTAACTTGCAAAACTAGTTGTACAGAGGACCCCCTGTTAGAAATTTCAAGAATCCTTGCAGGAATATGAGGGTTCTGTAAGGCAATGAAATAGTGTGGTGTACTGAAATCTAAGATTTCATTATCACTTTAATTAAAGGAACGTTACTTTTTGTAAATCTTGTGAACGTATTTTGGGATTTGAACCAGGGAAAGAGAGTGTTAAAATGGTCGAAGAATCGCCATACCCGACATGGGGAAGACCCTCACCATATTCGAGAAACCAGACAGAAGTCAGGAAAACTCCTTTAGTAATCGTTCGATATGCCACGCCTCGGGGAAAACGACGTACTAAGAGCTGTCTGTATACTTTAGTCTACTCATCGGAGCGTAGACCGCCTACAGTGTCCGCTCACCACTAACGACCCCGTGTCAAGTCCGATGGACTCAAACCAGCACCCTGAACCATTTGTCTTTCCAAGTAACAATATGTTAATCGCTGTTTAACTCTGACTTTGTTAATTGTTTGTCGGAATAACTTTTGCTCTGAGTATCCAAATCATTGACAATTCAACGCATCTGTACTCACATACCTGTGCCTCGAGTAAAACCCTGCAGAACAATAAAAAAAATATATTTTAGGTTCATGTTTAGACATCATCAAAACATGCACAAATGCTGTAATACCCATAATCCCTGAAATATACGCAACTATAACAACAACGAAATTCAAGGTACACCGCGATCTGATAAATGACGCTCGTGCTAAGACACATCTTTCTTTCAAACCGGACCACGCACTAGTAATTCTTATTGTATTACACAAGCTCTCGATTACAGTATTGACACAGTTGTTTCAATTGGTATGTTTGAACACCGTTCAGGGTCACCACGTGTCTGTACATGTAACCTGTAAAAGAATGGTAACCACAACATAGTAGAAGCACAGGCCTGAACCAGTCCGGGCCTTGCAGAAATGATACGTCCTGTGACCAACACACTGCCAACAACCCAACCATGTAGTACGTCGTGCCGATTTCCTAGAAATGAGTTTTCCCGTCAATTTCTAGGAAATTGCATGTTGAGTCCAAACAGTATAAATTTGCAGATTGCCATAAAATCGAAACATGCGTATTTGGACTCAGTTTGGACGGTTATTGTTCAACTTTGTTTCATCACACCTCGTGTTTGCAATAACATTTTAGTTAGATCATGTTTTTACAGGCTATCGTTTAAGTTCTGAAAGTAACAGCCTTCGTATTTGGGTTGACAGGAGACCGGTCTACACATGAGGAACATACTGTGCTCCAGCATTCATAACTCGCACTCGCAAAAGCTGGATTATTTATATACATTGGGATTGCTTCTCTTTTGGGGTGGCGGGGTAGCCAAGTGGTAAAAGCGTTCGCTCGTCACGCCGAAGACCCGGGTTCGATTTCCGACATGGGTACATTGTGTGAAGGCCATTTCTAGTGATATTGCTGGAATATTACTAAAAGTGGCATAAAACTAAACTCATCTCACTCACTCACCGATCTGGCAGGTATGATTGGAACCGATGTAAGAGTTTTGCGTTTTTAACTGTGTAGAAAGTTGATTGGTCTACGCATGCGCAGAAAAAAAGTTATACTATCTTCTAGGGCCTCTAGGGCCTATATTTTCGAAGCTCTCTTAGCGCTTAGATAGTCGTAAGATAATGTTAATGTATGACACTTACGACTATCTTAGCGTTAAGAGAGCTTCGAAAATATAGGCCCTGTGGTCTTTTGTTCAAATTTTGAAATTCACCAGTAAATAATAAAAACGTTACAATGAGACAACGCGACATTTTGTCGCATTTTCCCGTTTATATTAGTTACTGTGGAATGATAAAATAAGAAGACACATGATCATTTTTTTTATATTTGGGCAGGGCATCTATCCAGATATCGAACTCAAAACAGTAATAAATGTGGCCTTGAAGCAGGAGCAGATTTATGGGTTAAGGGTCGTTGGTTATTGGAAGTTTGATGCATTCAGCGGAGGTGTCATTACGACTATCTCCTGATACGATACCTATATCGCTAAACTTAATTACTGGAATGTTCATGAAAATAATGATGAATGAATAGGTCTATGTTTGAAACGAGACTAAACTGTTAATCGATACAAGTACATCTGTATCGTGTATCATATCGTCTGAGAAAGGTTTCGATGTATCCTATGTATTGTGAATCATACATGAGTGAGTGAGTATAGGTTAATGGCACTCCTTGGATACGCCATTTTGCGGAGGGAATTTACCGTGTGGTATATCAGAATGGTAACAGCCAATTTGTATGGCGTTTTTTCCAAGCAAAATATTACGTTCAAGCCCTTTTATTCCCCATTCATTCTCAGCCAAACTGGGAGTGTACGACCCAAGCTGTTTTTTGGTGTCCTGGAAGTTTGAGTCATATTAGTCTCATTCTACCTGGTATCCATCCACTGCTAGTTGAACAGAGGCCCAGAAAAACACCACTTGTATTGTATGTGCATCAGTGTGGGAGAGGCCCGCCTTAGATACCAGAAGCTACATTGGCGAACATGGCAGCTTGATATTGGAGGAATGCCATAAGTGATAAACACTGTATAGTGCTTGGATTCGAACGTATGATCATAGTTTTCTGGTGTGGATAAGAGACGCAGCTCTGCACAGCAAATAGCCCCGCCTACATTAACAGGGACATCATCTGCCGTCATCAATGTGATAGGTGATCAGAGACAGGAATTACAAGAGACAGGAATTACACAGAATAGAAGCGCAAAGAATTTGTCTTACTGCAAAAACAATTTGGGTGGCTAAATACCCCGATATTTACAATATATGAAATACTTCCCAAAGCAGCGATGTATCGATGTATCGATATTTTTCTGAGACGATACAATTATCGATACATTCAAAACTGTATCCATATTTAGTTTGAAAGTATCAGTAATAATATATTTATGTATCGTGTACATTTTGCAATTGTATCATGTTTTGGGATGTTATGAGAGTTATAAATGGTTAGTTTTCATACATAAAGATGGGAAATTAGAACTTTTTAATCTCTGAGAATATAAAATGTTGATCTTTTTATGGTCAATTATAAAATAAGAAATATTAATGTTCAGCATGTAACTAAATTTACGCAATAATGCAGCGAAAATAGGTATCATGATACACATCGAATCGTGACATGGGTATCGTGATACGTATCGATTCATGAAAGTTATGTATCGTGACATCCCTAAAAGTTAGTAAACCAAACTAGATAGCATATGACTGTATAAACAATTCAATAAAATGATTGGGATTTTTCAGAAGCGTTGTTTTCCGGCACAAGTTCTGTAACGAATTCATCGAATCCATCTATGCATACTTCACAAGAGAGCAACATTAAGAACATTCTCTGCTCCCCTATTTTATGAAGATAACCCGACCTGCCGTTTGACCTCCCGGGTCATGCATATATGTAGAGTTGCTCACGTCAAGCTGAAAAAAACTGTAGATGGGTCGACAACGCGTCATATTTTGACCTGAGAAATTGTCGCTGTGTCGCATTGTCCTGCTTTGGATGAATAAACACAATGGTTCCTTTAAGTGCACAGGGTGGTGTACTGTACATTAGGGGTTGTGACAACACTGAAAGAGTCTGCACTCAAAGTTGAGTCCAAGGTTTTTACACCCGGTCACAGGTTGGCTCGATCCCTACACCTCAACCTCGCTGGCTCACTAGCCCGGCGCCTTAGCCAGCTCGCCCACCGCGCCAAATATGTCGTAGACAGTTGGAGGTCGATTATAGCCTGTTCCCTCAACGCACTGCATGAACTTCACTTGAGACAAATTCAAATTAAGTGAAAGCTTGCAAGAAAAATATTCATCGCTGTGTTTCTACCCCAGAGACCTTTGACCGAACAACACAAAAGTGTCGCCAGATAATAATGGTTTAGGAACGTCCTTGTGTTTTTTCCATGCAATGCGTCTGTTTCGGTCATGTAGGTATAAGACTGTGCGTAACATCACACAGTAGTAGTTTTCTGCTTTACCATCCCTAAATGTTCCTCTTTTACGCTGTCACATGTTAGTAGTACTGGCAATAAATACCAAACAGGCATGTCGGAAATATGTTTACGTGGTTGTGTATTTGGGTTCGAGAGTATTCAGTGCAGATGAACTTGAGTCCGTACAGCAAGTCACGTGATGGATGTGCTATAAAAGGGTACATTGCACGTGCAGCAGGCACTTGAGATTCACGACTGACGGAGAAAGAACTGCTGTTGCGTGTCTCTGCTCTATCTGCAAACATGGAGCATTATTCGGATGACAGTGTACAAGACTTTGCTTCTCCTAAACGTTCGGAACAACCAAAAGGTGACGACTTTCAGTCTTTTCAACTGTTCCGGGACTATTTAGATGCCAAACTGTCTACACTTAAGAGAAACTTTATCAGTGAATCGGAGCAACTGTCTTTGTCTATCGCCATGAAATTGAAATATGATAAATACACTGACTTCAAATATAAAGGGAACTCTGTGCAATACAAGTTTAATTGTGATATGTTGGATTGGATCATAGCGGGAACTGAGAGCGACAGAGTTGGCTCTCTGTAGTTTGGTTGATACAGTGAAGGGGACGTCAGTTAGGCTCTTTTCAGATAATCAAGCAGCCTGTCTAGTGGCTCAACATGGTAGTACCGTATCAGAATAACAAAAGTTGGCAGCTAGCATCTTCATGTTCACTAGATGTAACAGTATTTAAGTTGAGTTCCAGTGGATTCCCAGGGAGAGTAATACGGCGGCGGACAGTTTAAGCAGGGCAGGGGATCAAGACGATTGGACGGTAGTAGATGAAGTGTTTGCCGAGATATATGAACACTGGGGATCGTTCACTATATACAGGTTTGCTGATCATAAAAATAAGAAACTGAAACGGTTCAACTCTAGATTTATGGTTCCAGGGACAGAAGCAGTGGATTGTTTCACTCAAGATTGGTCACGTGACAATATTTGGGCTGTGCCCCCTTTCAATTTGATATGTAAACCCATTGATTTTGTTTTGTACAATTGCTGCAGAGCTACTATTGTGATACCGTTGTGTAAGTCTGCTTTATTTTGGCCACAATTATTCAACCGTGACGGCGGGGGTAAACCAGGTATATCAGGGGTCTGGGAAATCAATGATGGAACCATTTTGCCAAAGGTGCAGCGAAAACAATATTTGATAAGAATTTCTTGGGATCAGCTTTAGCTATCAGAAATTTCTGATTTCTTTCAGATTTGTTTTCTCTCGGTGTTTGGAAGGAGAAGTAGGGGCTTAAAGATCCAACTTTGATTTATTTAGTGGAATGGTTACCGGAATTTATGTTGGAATCTAGAGCTAAGACTACTGTGAAACGGTATGAAGGTCGATTTGTGAAGTTTAAGGATTGGTGTAAACAATTTGCCATCAGTCATATTCCGGCTTCTGTATTTAATATAGCATTGTACGTGTTATATCTTGAGCAGAACGGTAAGAGTCCTGCATGAATTCAGCAGTTGATTTACGCCATAGGCTCGGCACATAATTTAGAAAGGCCTACGGAATCCATGTATGTCACATTTCGTCAAGTCTGTGCCTGTGCGGAGAACTCTGTGTACAAATCAGGCGGAAAGAGCCTATAACAGCAGATATTCTACGAAAGTTAAAAGATAAGTTTCCTGTTGACAGCTTATACAACCTGAGAAATTGAACATTTTGTATAGTTTCTTTTGCTGGCTTTCTCAGGTTTTCGGAAGCAGCAAGGTTAAGATATTCGGACATAATCTTCCGGGAGGGTCACATGGTTATCTTTATAGAGAAAAGCAAAACTGATAAATATCGAGATGGCCATCACTTGGTTGTTGATGCAACTCAATCAGAATTGTGTCCAGTACAACTCTGTATTTGGGTATGTTCACGTCAGCCTCAAGAACTAAGAGATCACAACATTCAATTCCCAATTTGTTCGACACATTCAGCCTTGCCAATAAGCTATCCTTCACATAAGAGTCTTTGGGAGTCTCTGACCGCTACCGACCGTAACGCTTAAATAGCCTGTCCGGCACTCCAGCATTGGCCGTCTCGGTCGTCCCTCCCGACCTGAGGCTGTGCACCCCAAATTCCTGTCTCTTGAGACCAACAGTCTCCAACATACTCAGAATGATCTCTGGAATACGTGTATAAGAGACTGGCTTGCTGCCTCTTAACTTATAAGTGTTTGACTTTCTGTATAATTAACTGGTTTAAATATATATTCATCACAGTAACGTTCAAATGCTTGTTCTAGGTATCACGTCATGATAGTACTGGTTATATATACCAACCAGGCGTGTAGGAAGCCAATTTTTCGTGTATATATTTCGATAGAATTGAGAGCCTGCCCAACCTCTGTTACAGCAATCATGTGAGCCCGGGCTTTATCACTCGCCCATGGAAGATACTGCGGCCAGATTTCACATTGTGATGATCAATTATTTGTCACATCTTCGTATGGCAGATGAAAACGGATTGTTTTCAATAAACATGTCTTTGCAATGTCGCATAGTGGTGGTGGAATTGGGTTGAACGTCGTGCTCGAGAATTTTTCGCTCATATGACGACGTGCATTCATTGTATGTGTATGTGCGACTGCTTGTACTAGCCCAGACTTTAGCTGGTTTTATAGTGCTAGCCCACTGAGATACCATGCCGCAGTGAAGCATGAATACCCCACTCAGACACATTATACTGACTCCGAGCCGACCAGTCCTTGTTGCACCATTTAATGCCGAGCGCAAGGCAGGGACCAACAAGTACCATATTTTAACGTGTTTTGGTATGACGCGGTCGGGAATCGAACCCGCGACCTTCCGCTCTCCGGGCAGACGCTCTAAATACACTGTTAAGAAATACTCGATGAGTTATTAATCTCAGTAAAATATTTTATGCCCGCTTCACATTCATATGGCTATTTGCAAACAAAAGGTCATGATTCCACTTGCTTGATAACGGCGTTAGAACCTGCACCGATCGTTTTCATGGTAATAAAGAAGTTGTTCAGCCATGTTGTGTAATCTGTCCTTTTTACTCCAACTTAAAAAATGCTTCTCAAAGATGTTATAATTCCACTGGTAATGACAACGCAATAATTGTGTGGATAAACTTCTTTAATATCTAAATGACGAAGTTTCGGAAAATATCTTCATACGGTCATCACGTTAATACTTTATAAGGATATGTTCCCTGAACATATAGATACTATACAAGTTGTAAACAATACGCCCGGACAGAGGAAGGTCGCGGTTTCGATCCCCGGCCGGGTCATACCTAAAGACCTTTAAATATGGTACTTGTTGGTCCCTGTCTGGCGCTCGGCATTAATGGGTACAACACGGACTGGTCGGCTCGAAGTCAGTATAAAGTGTGTGAGTGGGGTATTCATGCTTCACTGCGGCATGGTATCTCAGTGAGCTAGCTCTATAAAACAAGCTTAAATCTGGGCTAGTGCAAGCAGCCGCACATACACACGCATGCACGCATGAAGGGTAGCCCAGTGGTTAAAACGTTCATTCGTCGCAATGAAGACCCGGGTTTGATTCTTCACATGGGTACAGGCTGTCCCTCGCCTTGCATTGATGGAATATTGCTAAAAACAGCGTAAAACCATAAGGACTCACAACAATTTGCGTTGAGTCTATTTTCTACCACATCGGAACTATGACATGTCTGACCAGTGATGGTGGATTATCTGATCCAACCCCGATTATTTACACACCGCCGTCACACCGTTGTAGTGAGTGAGTGAGTTTGGTTTTACGCCACTTTTAGCATTATTCCAGCAATATCATGGCGGGGGACACCAGAAATGAGCTTCACAGAATGTACCCATGTGGGGAATCGAACCCGGGTCTTCGGCGTGACGAGCGAACGCTTTAACCACTAGGCTACCCAACCGCCCCGCACACCGTTGTAATATTGCTGAGTGAGGCGTTTAACAAACACATTTTCATAATAGAGTGTGGGCGGTGGGGTAGCCTAGTGGTTAAAGCGAAGACCAGAGTTCGAATGCCCACATGGGTACAATGTGTGAAGCCCATTTCTAGTGTCCCCCGCGATGATGTTGCTGGAATATTGCTGAAAGCGGCGTAAAACCAAACTCAGTCAGTCACTCACTCACTCATAATAGAGTGTGAATTGTACAATTGATTTTCCTTCAGCAGAGATTTCTCACGGATGTAGAAAGGGCTTGGCGCTTAAATTTATCAACACGGAAAGACACAGCCAGTAATCCAACTCACATAATATGGACACCTGAGTCATGCAGGCCTGGTTCTATGTTACTACTGCCGGGGAACAGGATAGAAAGTGACATCTTTTAACGATCGAACTCCCCACTTCCGACCGACGTTCTTTCAGCCACACCGTACGTACATTTAGGGTTACAAAAATCGGAAAACCGTTCGCTTTAGGTTCATCATCATATTTAAGTGAAGACACGTTTGTTCAAGAATTTGGACAAGAACAGATGAAGTTTAATGATGGTACTGTGGCATGAAGTGTAGCGGTGACTGGTTGATCTCATGTGTGTGCGTGTGTGCGTGTGTGCGTGTGTGCGTGTGTGAAAGTTGTTTTGTTTTGACTGCAAACGGCAATATTTTATATCACTACTTACAAACAGTCCGTTATTTGTCTGATAGCAAAAACAGCCATCACTCGGAGTGGACTCGAATAAGTACAATCAGCCAGAGTGGCTGGAACATATTTACCACATCCTGCCTTAAATATTTACATGTCATTTTGTCAGTTACAAAAGTCATTGTTTACTACGCTTCCTTGTTTAGTCATAGGTACAGATCTCAGCAGACAAGTTACCCCTTTTTCCTAAGAAGAAGACAATTTTTCTTCCTGAAACTGCGGTGTTCAATCAGCATAAAGCTGGCACGCCTAGAAAACGCCTGAACTTCACTTCATAATGTTGACAGTAATTTACATTTTTACACTTTGTATTTGTCGAGTCATGTGCTCCTCTAGAACTTCATTATCAGTCTGTTTCTTTCGTTTACCGTTACGTTCTATATCTTCTGAATGAAGCCTCACAGTCTGACCCGACAGTCTCATTCCTTCAAGGACCCCCCTCGTTGTCAGCTTGATAGCATAGTTGTTGTACTCTCTCCCGTTCAACATAATTGTCTCCCTCACAAAGTCCACTCTCCTATCCGGATCCTTCTCCTCCTTATACTTGTGAAAAATGAGTCTTAGATCCTGAATCTTGAACGACATCATTACCTTCTTGTCCTTCTTCCTTCTTATGTACACTGGGGCTTTGCCTGATGGCATTCTCATGGTGGTCTCAACTGTGAACCTTTTGCACATCTCCCTCTCCGTGAAGACAACCTGGGCCACGCAGTTGGTGTTGGCTTTGACGTTGATATCACTATTGGTTTCAAACGTCAATGTTTCCTCAAATGTCTGCTCGGTAGTTTTGGTTACGTTGAGTGTCGTCTCAAGTTTACCATTAACAACACCAATGGAGAAGTTTGCCGTTCCACCAATTGTAAATCCCTTCTGGAAAGTCACCTTTACACTCGCCTTTCTTGCCCGTTCCATTCTGAACTTGTATACCTGGTCCATATCAGTGTCGTTATGGTAGTCCGTGGAGAGTATGGATGTATTGGGCATATGTTCTCCTTCCTTGGAAAATGGATTTGACTCAGATCCAACATCCACATCTTTAAGCTCAGCTTTCGAATCTTCAAACTGATAGAAGTTCATTTGGACGTCAACAGTGAAGTGTTTTCTTCTGATGAAAGGCCTTCTGAAACGGCCTTCACTCTTTATGAATTCACCCCATGCCCAGTCCTGGATGATTTTATGGACGTCAAGAATTGGTGAGATATCCTCAACCTTTGCGTCACCTCCACAGATCATTCTGAAAACAGCTGGAAATATACAATGCATTTGAGAAAGTTGATAAACAAATGTTATGTGCAGTTTACATCTGTTCTATTTGTTTTGTTACACTCGACCAGTAGTTAAAAGGCGATGCGTATTCATATCATTCAACCATTGGAGACGTGCCTGCTTCCGCATCACTGGATACTAGGACATATGGAAGTGTAGAGGCTTGTGTGGTACAATGGTTTAGTAAATAGGTGGAAAATGGGTGAAAGTGTTAAGGGGTGTGTGGAACAACAGTGGAGCAAATAGGTGGGAGACGAGTGAAAGTGTTTTCACGGGTTTGTGGTACAATAGTGGAGCAAATAGGTGGAAGACGGGTGAAAGTGTAAAGGGGTGGGTGGTATAATAATGGAGCAAATAGGAGGGAGACGGGTGAAAGTGTTAACGGGTTTGTGGTACAATAGTGAAACAAAGAGTTGGGAGACTGGTGAAAGTGTAAAGGGGTGTGTCAATAGTGAAGCAAATATGTGGGAGACTGAGGGAAAGTGTTAATGGGGTGTGTCAATAGTGAAGCAAATATGTGGGAGACGGGTGAAAGTGTTAATGGGGTGTGTCAATAGTGAAGCAAATAAGTGGGAGACGGGTGAAAGTGTTAATGGGGTGTGTCAATAGTGAAGCAAATATGTGGGAGACTGGGGAAAGTGTTAATGGGGTGTGTCAATAGTGAAGCAGATATTTGGGAGACGGGTGAAAGTGTTAATGGGGTGTGTCAATAGTGAAGCAAGTATGTGGGAGACTGGGGAAAGTGTTAATGGGGTGTGTCAATAGTGAAGCAAATATGTGGGAGACTGGTGAAAGTGTTAATGGGGTGTGTCAATAGTGAAGCAAATATGTGGGAGACTGGTGAAAGTGTAAAGGGGTGTGTCAATAGTGAAGCAAATATGTGGGAGACTGGTGAAAGTGTAATGGGGTGTGTCAATAGTGAAGCAAATATGTGGGAGACTGGGGAAAGTGTTAATTGGGTGTGTCAATAGTGAAGCAAATATGTGAGAGACTGGTGAAAGTGTTAATGGGGTGTGTCAATAGTGAAGCAAATATGTGGGAGACTGGTGAAAGTGTAATGGGGTGTGTCAATAGTGAAGCAAATATGTGGGAGACTGGTGAAAGTGTAAAGGGGTGTGTCAACAGTGAAGCAAATATGTGGGAGACTGGGGAAAGTGTAATAAGGGGGTGTGTCAATAGTGAAACAAATATGTGGGAGACTGGTGAAAGTGTAAAAGGGGTGTGTCAATAGTGAAGCAAATATGTGGGAGACTGGTGAAAGTGTAATGGGGTGTGTCAATAGTGAAGCAAATATGTGGGAGACTGGTGAAAGTGTAATGGGGTGTGTCAATAGTGAAGCAAATATGTGGGAGACTGGTGAAAGTGTAATGGGGTGTGTCAATAGTGAAGCAAATATGTGGGAGACTGGTGAAAGTGTAAAGGGGTGTGTCAATAGTGAAGCAAATATGTGGGAGACTGGTGAAAGTGTAAAGGGGTGTGTCAACAGTGAAGCAAATATGTGGGAGACTGGGGAAAGTGTAATGGGGTGTGTCAATAGTGAAGCAAATATGTGGGAGACTGGTGAAAGTGTAAAGGGGGTGTGTCAATAGTGAAGCAAATATGTGGGAGACTGGTGAAAGTGTAATGGGGTGTGTCAATAGTGAAGCAAATATGTGGGAGACTGGTGAAAGTGTAATGGGGTGTGTCAATAGTGAAGCAAATATGTGGGAGACTGGGGAAAGTGTAATGGGGTGTGTCAATAGTGAAGCAAATATGTGAGAGACTGGTGAAAGTGTTAATGGGGTGTGTCAATAGTGAAGCAAATATGTGGGAGACTGGGGAAAGTGTAATGGGGTGTGGTACAGTACTGGAGTATATAGATGGAAAACGGGGCAAGTGTTAAGGGGTCTGTAGTTGTGTAAGTTATAGTGTATATTTTCGTGCCTATAAACATCGAAAGTGAAGGTATATTACAATGCTCAGTACGATATGTCCCCAGCAGGACATTTCCTCGTCAGGTTTCGTGCTTACAACTCCTCGCCCGGTTATGTTTACAAATACAAACTCGATATCGATGTTTACCCATTGCTTAGTTACGATCACAAAACAACAGTATTGACTCACCCTCGCAATAGGCTTTCAGGGCCAAATACGTACTATACCTTCCTGTCATAGAGAAAAGATGGAGCCAGTGTTCTGTCTTATAAATATAGACAGTGATCAAACTCATACTGGGCTTCAAGTTGCCAAAATGAAAGACACCTCCACTTCATAAGCTACATATGAATGATCAGGCATTGATTTTATCCGATAATATAGCTACTGATCGATAAATGTGTTCGCCCATACACTACGTCCTTCCTCATCGCCCTTCCAATAGCTTTTGTCTTTTTCGGTAGTAAATACCAAATATTTACTTTAAGTATAAGTACCATTTCAACAGGATACATGTCCATTACGTTAATGTACTAAATGAACACTTACATAAACATTAATGACCTATCATAATAAACAATGTGACCATGGTAACATCAAACATATTCCATGGTATTTGTCACCATCTTGAGGTAGTCTGTGCTAGTTTCTGGTCAGTTTTGTCATGTGTATACATTACCTTACAGTTCCAGCTCAGACGTTGCATGCTGTCCCCACTATCCTACAGGCTGACGCGGTCCGGGTCACGGTGACCTTTGCTTCCTGGAACTGCAACGCTGACGACTCCAGTGTATCGATTTTCTACCGCGCTCGACGACTACCCACTTGCATTTGTTGATACATGTTGTTCGCATATATTTGTTTCCTTGATTGTGTAATGATGCGTACATTTCGGTATCTTTATGTTTTAAGACATGTGTGCCCTAAAGGTAATTAAGGAAATAATGTGCAACAGTAGTGCAACGGCCCTTGCATGCATGGCCTTCTCAAATCAAATTTGTGCTTAAATAAAGCTACGCAGTTTAGCTGTTTGTTGTTTTGAGGGAATATGATCTCATATATTGATGAGGCATATTGCTTACCAACACACTTATTAATATTTGTAAAGCTACGAAACCTGAAAAAGTCCAACGGTCTGTTGTTTTTACGGAATATGATTACACAAATAACACGCATTATAACATATGTCTTACCCATCTTTATGGAGGAACCCATTTGAGATAGATGCTATAAAGCTATAAAACAAGTGATTTCTGCAGGTGTATAAGCAATAAATATATCAAATATGAGTCCAGATATTTCCTTTTGTCAAATCTCCTTTATATCTGCACAAGATCTTTCGTTGTTCAACGGCTCTTCAGGTGTACAATGAAAGCTGAGTGTCGTCATAGGCGACACATAACGGTAATAGCTATGTCGTCATCATGCGTATGACGTGAAGCGCGAGACATAAAACGTAGTCATGGGTGACAGTAAGGTTACGTTTGTGACGTCATCGTGTGTTTAACGTCATAGTTAGAAACAATAGTGGTGGACATGTATGCATTATGGTTTCAGTGCACAAATACATACTGAGTTACATTAAGAAAGTTACATAATTATGCTTTTGTATTAAGCTTACGTTTAAACAGCCTTATGAACATTTGTTCTTTTTCTATCCGTAATTGTTTATCATTGTTAAGCAATTGATAAAATGGAAAGATAGTAAACAGGCCATTCCTGCATTCATCAGTGTGTTTGCTTACATTTATACATCCCACATTAAGATCTCGAATTTGTTGTCTGTGTACAGTGACTCGGTCCTTTAACGGATTTACGTCGAGGCGCAGTGTGCTATTTTTAGATTTTCGAACGTTTTTATACCACCGGGAAAAGGCGCGAACCAACTTCGCGGCACATTCGTTGCAGCCATAATCATGGAAGGTCAAAGAAAACCTAGAAAACCCAACTTTACAGATGGTGAAATCATATGTCTTTTGGAGATGTACGGAGACAATAAGGATCTTCTCATCTCCAGACTTTCAAACAACATAACTAATCGGCGTAAACAAGACGTTTGGAAGATCGTCTGGCATAACCCGGGATTTTGATGAAGTAAAGAAAAAGTTGAAGGATCTTTTGAGAAAAGCTAAGAAAGACATTGCTGCGCATAAAAACCCAACAACTGGAGGCGGTCCTCAACACAAAGACTCGGCTTACACGTCCTGGGTTTTAGACATTATCGGTACAGAGTCATCGTCTCTTGTCGGTATAGAGGAAGGTGTAGAATCTGGCCATACTGTTTCGGCACCGTTTTCACAGACATCACGGGCATCATCAGATTCCCCTGAACTATCAACTTCGTCAGTACTACAGTCATCAGCAACGACCGTCGGAACATCAGCAACGACAGTCGGGACATCAACAACGACAGTGACTGCTCCCCATGGCCTGACACCACCCCTCAGTCTTCTGAATATGGTATGTAGGCTAGGTCCTGGCCATGTTTGTAATTATTTTCTTATTAGGAGATCTACATCTACCAATGTAGATTAGTTCAGTTTACGAACATTATCAGTCTATTTAAGCATATACATTTACGAACATTGATCAATCCAGTTTGTTCATAGTAGTGCAAATTTATATCTATCATATGTTCAAATGGTAGAATTGAGTAGATCTACTAAATGTTTTCAAGGCTATGGGTCTAGTTGAGTGGATTTTTTTACGCCATAAGTATAGTCTTGTTTGTCTCAAATATATAGATTGTCACAACTCGACAACATATAAAAAAAACAATACTGTAGATAAATTTGTCTAGTCGATTCAAGGGAGATAATTGGTCTAGTGGGCTTCTGTACTGGCGACCCTAGTTCGAAACCCCACAGAAGAACAAACATTTCTATTTTATTTTCTTCTTTGGATATTGATTTTACATTGATTTACACTTTTACAATTTTGTCGATCTATAAATGTTAAGGACATGAATGTTTTAATGAATTATCGGTTTAACATTTGCAAATAATTTTTTACACCACCCTCCTTTTAGACAAGAGTACGCCGCGTCTCACGAAGCGAAAGGCCACTGATGATGACCTCTACCAGCAGCTGCTAGCCCAGGAGATCGGGAGGGCCAAAGCACAGACCGAGAGAGCACACGTTGAAACTGAGAGAGCAAGAGCGGAGGCCATTAAGATTCAACTGGAGATCAAGCTGCTGGAAAGAAGACTTGAACAGCCCGACATTTACACTCTTCCTATTCTTCCTGAGTGTTGAACTGAGATATGCAGACTAAGCAATATGCGCATTCTCAACTGTACTGAACTTTAAAGTGATATGTTTCAACTACATTTAAACCTTACTTAGTCACGTTATGTATGAAATGAGTATGTTTATTCAAGTTAATTACAGTAAAATATCTTTAATGAAATATTCAACAATATTATTGCAGTGTACAGGAACTGTATTGAAATCATAACATTGAGCTCTCAGAATGTATATCGCTGTTGTTATTTGAAAACTTTGATGGAATGTACACTGAGTCTGCTGAGTCTGCTGAATTATCCTGTCTCTTTCTAACTTGGCATTGTGGGGTTCGGCTACGTTGTGAATGTCATTGTCACCATTGTCATCGCCCTCATAGTCGTCTTCGAGTGGTGTCCCGAACTCAATAGCCGTGTGGTGTAGTACACACACTGCACTTATAATAGTGCAACATCGTTTTGGTGGGTATCTTAACTCCGAGTGAACGCAATGGAACCGGCGCTTTATTACGCCGAAGCATCTCTCAATACAGTTTCTTGTTGATGCATGTGCATAGTTATAACGTTCCTCCTGTCTTGATCTGGGATTCCTGACTGGTGTCATCAGCCAGGTGCGAAGACATTGTCCCCGAGATTGATGAATTCTATTTGTCTGTTTTCAAAATCAACAAACATTTGACTCTCACTTAGCATCCGAGAGTCATGAACAGAGCCGGGCCACTTTACAATACAGTTTAACACTCTTAGACTTGCATCACATACACCTTGAACATTAATAGAGTGGTACCCTTTTCTGTTGACATAATTATATTCTTGTTCTTTTGGAGCCTGGATCCTAATATGTGTTCCGTCCACACATCCTACTACACCTGGACACCCTGCCATATTGTAAAAACTGACTTTCAGTGATACGAGTTCGTTTTGATCGGGAAAGTAGATCCAGTGATTCATTCGCCGCTGAAAAGACAATGAAACTATGCGAATTGTTCGACTAACCGTAGATTGATGAACAGTGACAGTATCCCCAACTACATTTTGAAATGATCCCGTAGCATAAAACCGTAAGGCTACGAGTACCTGTATTTCCGGGGTAAGGGTAGAATTGCGGTACGAGCCATATTCAATATCACCTCTGATTGTATTCACTATCTTGAAAATGTCAATTCTCCTGAATCTAAATCTTCTGTACAGATCAAGATCGTCGTATATTTCTAAAGAGTTTGACCTATCTCTCAATATACGGTTTCTGTAGAACTGTCGTCTGCGCATATACAAGCGCAGTCCGCTGACATGGCCCACCGAGCTGCAAGTCCATCCCGCATGGGAATTCATGGGTGCCGTGTTACAACTACTAACCAATCACAACGTCCAAGTCAGGCATGGCGCGGCCGGAGCTCATCGCAACCAAGCCATCCTCGAGAGATTCAATAGGACCCATCTTCGCCACAGGTTTCAGACTGCAGTGATGACTGCCTGAACCATCCGAAAACTTTGCCGTATCCACCCCAAAACAGTTCGACAACGTTTACGTCATCATGGGATCAGACCACGACGTCCCTCCATACGGCCTATCCTGACACAACGTCATCGACAAGCTAGCCGAATGTGGTGCCGAAATTATGTCCGCAGACCCTTGTTTTGGTGGAGAAATGTTGTTTCTACAGAAGAGTCCAGGTTTAACATTTCCCATAGTGACGGATGTCATCGTGCATATAGACACGTGGGAGAACGTTATGCACAGGTCTGTGTCTTGCAGAGGAATCGCTTTGGTGGTGGTTCCGTGATGATTTGGGGTAGAATAACAGCACGCCAAAGAACTCCTTTGGTGATTGTTCAGGGCAACTTAACTGGTGTGGGCTACAGGGATCAGATTCTTCGACCTGTGGCAATTCCTTTTCTGCAACGTCATGGCCCTCGGTTATCATTCCAACAGGACATTGCCCGCCCTCACACGGCAAGGGTTGCTATGGATTTCTTGCAACACCGCAACGTTGACTTACTGCCTTGGCCTGCATATTCACCGGATCTCTCCCTGATAGAGTATGTTTGGGACGAGATGGATCGGCGTCTACGCCGTCTTCCTCATCCGCCAGATAACGTCCTTGACCTTGCAACAGAACTTGAGAGAATCTGGCGTGACATCCCACAAGCCTTCCTTGCACGTTTGATAGGCTCTATGTGTCGTCGATGCACTGCTGTTCTCAATGCCGATCGTAGACATACTCGTTATAGAGCTTGTAACATGGTCGTTTGACCCCTGTCCTGCTTGTGGACTCGTGACGCCATTGTGATTGACTTTTCAATTGAAATTCTCCCAACTTGTTATGGTCTCATGATCCCTCCATTAAAGTTTATATGTACCTTTGACATTGTTATCGTACTTATCAACTGGGATAATATTTTGACAATTCACAGTTTCTTTATGTGACTAGTATATTTTGTATCATGATAAAGACGTTGGAATATAACGTTACTAAATGCCTCAGTTCATGTGTACTGGAGTTCAGAGGTAGAGTTGGGT